AACGGCTTGTAAACAATTCATGTAATGTTTACATTTACCTCAGAAAGCATATTTGGTGACCATAAACTTGACAGTCAGCCAGAAAAATAAACTGTAGAGAGGATATATTGACAGTCAGCCAGAAAATTTTTTTTACCGTTCTTTAATGCTTTATTTATGTTTGAATAAATCTGTCCAAGTTTTTATGACAGCCACTATTTAAATGTGTATATTTAAAAAAACTAACTGAAGTAATTCTAACTTAACTATTATAAAAACTTCATTAAGTGCAATTTAAGCAGTTTCACAGCACAAATCAGTCCATTTTAACCTTCAATATTATAATGTAGTACCAACTGACTCTCATGTATATTTTACAGCATTAGTTGAGAATTTTTTTTTCCTTGAGAAAATTTGGCATGTACTGTACCTGATATGTATCCAAAATAATCGATATTGAATCGAATTACAAGCTTGTGAATGAGAATCGAATCGTGAAATTTGTGTCAAAACCCAGCCCTAAAACAAAACCACACGTGTGCCTAAGGTCATCCATTCATTGGACAGAAATTCTCAAGCGTACCAGAGTTCGTTTGGAACCTCTTCAGCTGGGTCTCGGTGCGGTTGTTTGGTCTGCACCCGAGTGTGATTGCTGTATTCACACCTGCCCAAAAGATCCGCTCCAATGGGGGAAACAAATTGAGTTTGATTCAATCGAACCAAACAAGACAGGTGTGAATACACCCTTAGTGTGTTTTGCTCAGAGGTGGGACCAAGTCATTGTTTTGCAAGTCACAAGTAAGTCTCGAGTCTTTGCATTCAAGTCTCGAGTCAAGTCCCGCGTCAAGACAGACAAGTCCCAAGTCAAGTCCCGAGTCAAGACAGGCAAGTCCAAGTCGAGTTGCTAGTCCTCAGCTTTAAGATTCAAGTCTTAAACAAGTCATTAGTGCTTTTTGCCCAAATTAGTGTCTCAGTATTAATTACCATATCAAATTCATAGTAATTTATATCAGGAAGGCAGATAGAATATTTGACATTGTTCAATTTCATGTGAGATGGGTGCCCTTAGTAAAACTATTCAAGTTCAATTTAGGGATTGTGCCAAAATAGGATAAGCAGTAAACTATTTTATTAGTAACAGAATAGCAAAGACAACATAATATCATAGAAATAACAGCTGCAACATACTTTGCATGTGTGCATAAGAATAGTTGTGTGCTTCTAGGTGTTAAATCTAAGCTAGTGAGCCATTATTTGGAACCTCAATGAAACAGATTTAAAAATATGTGAGCAGAAATGCAGAAAGAACTGCTTTGAAAGAACTAGAAGAAATAACTGCAAGCATACTTTGCAAGTGAGAGGAAACATGCAATATGGATGCAGGCAAACTCAAGAAGACAATCATTCAAAAATGCTGTGCTACCATCCTTTATAACTAAGAGCAACAAAGACAAAATCATTTAATAGAAAAAAATGTTGTATGTTAAATGTTAAGTTTATAATATGCATAGTTGATCGCTAAATTTAGGGGCTGTGTGTGCTATTGGCCTACAGACTGATTTACAACACGTGAATTCATTCATTTATCCTGAAAGAAATGGAAGTGAGATGAGTGCTGAGTGCCTGCAAGAGCAATGAGTAGTCTATATTTTATAGTTATATATACAATACCCATTTTGTGAAAGAAACACTTCTTCAAATTAATGATCATTAGGCCTATTGCCACTTGCTCACTTCAGACATTAGGCCTAATGTGCATTTTTCTACTTCAAATTATAGCTGAATGGTTTGCAATGATTCATTTTAAATCTAGATTAAATCAAGGTTTATCTAATAATTCTGTTGCACCAAACTTCAAACCTTTAAAAATAAGCAGGTTTACATTTTTAACCCATCATTTTGATCGGATTTAAGTTATATTTAAGATGAACTTTAATCCTGTTGCACCATAACTTTAAACTCAGATTTAAATCTCAATTATGGATTAACTTTAAACTTAACCCTTAAATGCATACCTCTGGTCTTTAGCGACCCGGGACATCATTCTCTACCCTCTCCCTCCTTCAGTTTTTTAAGTTAGACATCAACTTTCTTAGTATTCCTTTAATATCTATTAATTATAAACAATATAACAAGAAAAAAATAGTAAAATATAAAATGCCAGTTTTCTGATTAATTTTTTTTGTAAAAAGTGTATAGGGTCGCTAGAGACCCGAGGTATGTAAATGTGTAAGTATTCTTTCCTGCACAACTACATTTACATATCTGATGACTCAAATTGTGCAATGCATCGTTTTTTCCTCAAGGTGGCACTGTTTGATACACAGTAATGACGTGACGTTTCACTCATAATTACCGCAGGCATAAAACAAACGAATATCATCAGCAAAAATTGAAGTGGTTTGAATGGCTTTACTGCAGAGCAATTACTATACTACGCAATGAAATATAAATGTCACTGTCATTTGATGCTGGATGTGGTGAATAAGCTGCCAGTGATCAAAATATTGAATATGAAGTCATTGAAAACGATAGTTTTGAGAATATGGCTGAGATCGTGAATATAAGCCAGATGCTGGATGTACTGTGGAAGTGCGCTCTGACGATAACAACGATGGTAAAATCATCTGCTCAAATTTAACCCTTTTAAGTTTCAAAAGGTAACGAAATATGCTTTATTTTATTCTTCTGTAATTGTTCTTAAAATATCAAGAGAGTTTTTTTGCTATTGCAGCAGTTAAAGATCCATCCGTGCTGTAGGCTATATACTGTAGGTCCGGGTCGCTAAAGACCCGAATATATAATAATAATTGGTGAAACATTCATGCATTTAAGGGTTAATGGAGGTTTAAATAAATGCACATGCAATTAAAATATGTAACTGATCGAAGAAAAACTGTGGAGATCTGACAAAAACAGGTCTCAGAGAGGTGTTTATTACAAATTAAAATGAAAATTAAAGCACATGGAGTTGGCAGAGTGCGAGGGTCGTGGCGGGATGCGGATCAGTCACTCTTGGTGCACCTCGGTGTCGGACAAACAGAAGAAGTGAGGAACATTTAACAGCATTAGTCACGGTGATGATGAGGCCAGCACCAGTGAAGTTTCTCATGCCCGCTCCGTGTGTCTGCTGGGCGGCGATCAAACGGACAGGGCAGCGCTTTTCACAAGCGGAGATCGCTACTAGACGAATCATGTAATTTGCTTTTTGTTTTTATCTCTGTTCTTTTGTCGTAAGTTATGCTATTACTCCATTAATTTATACTAGCCTATCCAGCGCTCCCTGAACGCAGTCCCTAGCTTATTTCCAGTCAAGCGCAAGCACACTGCAGGGACGTGTCTATAACAACTTAGATCTGATCATAAAGTCTTTCCGAGTCACAGGGCTCAAGTCCAAGTCAAGTCTCGAGTCCTTGCTGTCAAAGTCTAAGTCGAGTCTCAAGTCTTCTTTAATTATGTCGAGTCGAGTCGCAAGTCATCAAATTTGGGACTCGAGTCCGAGTCGAGTCTCGAGTCGTGTGACTCGAGTCCACACCCCTGGTTTTGCTTGGCTGCATCACAATGCATTTCTGCTGGAAAACACATGAAGGCTTGTTATTGTCTTCATCCAAGCAAAACATATTAATTTTGGATTACGTTAGATCATAAATGTGATCTGCTGAAGTAGGATACGTATTTGATCTGAAGTGGTGTCAAACGCAAGGTGAAGTACTTTCAGATGTGAGCTGCCGGATTGTGAACTTTCACACTTCGCAGCGATTCCTCATCAGACTAAACCAACAGCGCAGGTTAAGAGAGGCCAACATCAAAGCTCTGCCGACAGCTTAAACAAACACATCTCATTTCCTCGGTAATTTCCCAGTTTTGTGTTCACACATAAACATACACACACGCATTTAACACTATATCTGCAACAATGAGCTGTCCTCTCCACACAGCTGCAGCTAGCAGAATGAAGGCTGCATTCGGCAACATCAGGTGTTGTGACAGTGAACATGAGGCCCTCGGGGGACACAGCCAGCTCTGATGAGGACCTGAAGATGGCACATATGGCTCCAAAATGAGACCCTCAGCTGATTGTGACACGATTGCTCTTTGGGGGGCCTCAGGCTGACAATGAATCAGCCAATGAACTATTTCACAATTCGACTCGTAGGAGATTAAAAGCACTTAGTCATTGCTAAAAAGACCTCCATGTGTAAAACATTTTAAGAATAAATCATAGATCATTTTAAGAATTGTGCAGCTTTTATTAGACACTATTAATATAATGAGTTCTGCAACAACATTAAATTATTATAATTTTTACATTTTTAAAATAAAATATTAAATGATATAAAATACACACTACCTTCAAAAGTTTAGGGATGGTATTTATTCATTTTTTTCTTTCTTTCTTCTTTTTATTGAAATAAGTCACTTATGCTCACCAAGGCTCCATTTATTTGATTAAAAAAATCTGTAAAAACAGTATTATTGTGAAATATTATTACAGTTTAAAATAACTGTTTTCTACTTAAATATTTTTAAAATTGTAATTTATTTCTGATGTAAAGCTGAATTTTCAGCATCATTACTCCAGTCTTCAGTGTCACACGATCCTTCAGAAATCATTTTAATATTCTCATTTGCTGCGGAAGAAACATTTCTCATTATTATCAATGATGAAAAAGTCGTGCTGCTTCATATTTTTTTTATGGAAAACACAAAATTTTTTCAGGATCATTTGATGAACAGAAAGACCAAAAGAACATATTTTGTTTGAGAAAAAAAGCATTATAAAAATCTTTATTGTCACTTTTGATCAATTTAAAGCACCCTTGCTGAATAAAAGTATTAATTTCGTAATAATAAAATTTTTTATTTTTTATTTCTTAATTAACAACTTGGTGAACCCAAACTTTTGAATGGTAGTGTATAAATTACATAATAATGCTTTCAATAGTTCATGTACATTAAACTATAATCTAGTAAACATTTCACATATATCAGCAAACAGCAAAAAAGTAACAAACATTTACCCATTGGCTAGGTCGTCATCATCGACGTCTACATCAACGTTATCATCGTCGTCATCCTCTTCTTCTGGTTGGCTCTTGCCTGTCAGGTTGCCGTCGCTGAGGTAAACAGACTTGAGGTCAGCCAGGTCATCGTCCGCGGCGTCCAGGCCCTCGATGAGCTGGATGTGCTGCAGGTGACTGGTCTGCGTTATTGCTCGGATGGGCAGCGAGTGGGCAGAGACCCCGGAGGAGGGGGCGTCACCAGCCTGCAACCGAGGGCTGGACTGGCTTTGGCGCCAGAAGAGAGGGGAGGAACGGTTGGACAAGCTAGAGATGCTGCGGGCATTAGTCTCATCGCTGTCGTAGCACATGCTGCTCTCAGTACAGCTGAAATATTAGAAAAAAAGGTGGTTAAAGGATTAGTTCACTTCCAGAATAAAAATGTCTTTTTTTTCCTAATCCTTTAATTCTAAAGCATGCCGTTAGAGAAGTGTTATTTTATTTTTTTTAATTTTTTTTTAATTTTTTTTTTTATGTTTTTATTTGTAACATTTTTCATTTTCATTTCAATAAAATTTTTGTAGTTTTATAAAATGTTGATATATATATTTTTAGTTATTTTAGTACATCATTAAACTAAATTAAAATGAGAAATGTTGGCGACTAGCTAAAAAAAAAAGTGTTTAATATTTTTTATTTTAGGTTTACTTAACTATAATAAACCTGCACTGGAGTGATGGTTATCGTAAATAGATATGTATGTTTGAAGCTTGGTGTGCTCATATTACCAAAATTTCTGCTAAATTTGACAGGCAAAAATGGTCCATTCTCTACTGTCAACAGTGTAGCTACTGTATGTACGAAGCACAGCTCACACAGAAGTCACTATCCAACCAAGCAGCTTTTGTTTGTCAAAACACGTGATGAATCTGTGTAACCAACTTGAACCCATTGCAAAATCTGTGTGTGGAAATCGTTCGCCCTCCTACGAAAATTCCTGTCGCATGGATTCCTTTTGAAATGACTGGATTTCACCTGTGGAAACTCGCTGAACAACTGTAAATGTGACTGTGGCTTCAAAAAGTTTGGAAAGGATGAGCAAAATTTCGTAAGCGAAAATTCGTAATTACGACGTGTTAGGACACCAACGGTTAAATGTTGTGCTTAATGCTGCTCAATCCCATGAAATGTTGAAATTACCAAACTAATGTAGTCGGAGAATAAGAGCTTTGATGCATCTGCACTCAGGCACTGGCATTCTCAGCGCATTCAAAACGAAGGTCCAAGCTCTGTCAAAATAATAGTCCCATTTCTGACACTTAACTGCAAACAGAAAAAAAATTTATCGGCTGCTGCCAATTTTTAAAAACTGCCAAATATTTGCCCACAAAATTTTTGATATACCACAGATTCCTCTTTAGCTACTGTATGTACGAAGCACAGCTCACACAGAAGTCACTATCCAACCAAGCAGCTTTTGTTTGTCAAAACACGTGATGAATCTGTGTAACCAACTTGAACCCATTGCGAAATCTGTGTGTGGAAATCGTTCGCCCTCCTACGAAAATTCCTGTCGCATGGATTCCTTTTGAAATGACTGGATTTCACCTGTGGAAACTCGCTGAACAACTGTAAATGTGACTGTGGCTTCAAAAAGTTTGGAAAGGATGAGCAAAATTTCGTAAGCGAAAATTCGTAATTACGACGTGTTAGGACACCAACGGTTAAATGTTGTGCTTAATGCTGCTCAATCCCATGTAATGTTGAAATTACCAAACTAATGTAGCTTTGATGCATCTGCACTCAGGCACTGGCATTCTCAGCGCATTCAAAACGAAGGTCCAAGCTCTGTCAAAATAATAGTCCCATTTCTGACACTTAACTGCAAACAGAAAAAAAATGTATCGGCTGCTGCCAATTTTTAAAAACTGCCAAATATTGGCCAACAAAATTTTGGATATACAGCAGATTCCTCTTGAAACGACCAGATTTCACCTGCGAACGTTCGAAAAAGATGAGTGAAATTTCATAAGCGAATTCATAATCATTATTAATCATGTTAAGACATGCACTCCGAATGCTGTGTAATGTAATGTTGGAATTACTGTAATTATTGTTTCTCAATAGCAAAAATCTGAATGGTATAAAACTCCAATCCTTGCCGATGATGCAAGTGACAAACAAAAAGTACTGAAAGTATGTGACTAATTTTCTCATTTCACCCACCACTGGCAGGTGTAGCAAAAACTTAAAGGGGTCATATGATGCGATTTCAAGGTTTCCAAAGTTCGTGAATAGATAAGATTACTAAAGTTGCAAAGACTAAAGTCTCAAATCCAAAGAGATATTCTTTATAAAAGTTAAGACTGGTCCACGCCTACCTAAAACGCCTCATTTAAACACGCCCCCACATGTCTATGTCACTGTGTGGGAAGATTTGCATAACGCCGCCCAAATGTTCACGCAAAGAAAGAAGGCGTAACTTTGATTCTCGCTGTAGTATTGTTGCTGCCACCACTGCCATGTCGTGGAGACGCTGTGTGTTTCGTTGTGAAAGTGAAACTACTTTGTTTGGCATTTCAAAAGTGGACACAACTAGAAATCAGTGGTTAAGTTGTATTTACAACACTGTTCCAGAACAGTTCAAATCAAATATTCAGATGTGTCCAGCGCATTTAACGGAGGACGAGGACTGTTTCCTGAACCAGTAACCTACAATGCCGGTGTTCCGGTGAATTCAGTTCCCCTGTTTCCCCTTCGGCGCGCATGCTGACCACAGTCTATGATGCTGACAAATAATGTTGACTCACAGACTGTAAGTACGTTTTCATATTTAAAGGATTTGCCACTGACGATTCAAACGCGAGTATTGAGCAGTGTAGAGTAGCACTTGTTTGTCATTTCTCCGATCACAAATGCAGACATGGTTTTATGTTTACGCGGCGAGATGCAACGCAACGCTTAAAAAGACAGTATAAGTCATTATAATCAGTAATTATGTCCCCACTGGATGCAACAAATGCCTAGTGTATAATGGGTTTTAATGGTTTTGTCTCGTCGCTCCGGCCGGGACAAGGCATCACAATATGGTAAGGGCGTAACATTTCCGTCACACGCTTGAGGTATTCGGCCAATCACAACGCACTGGAGAGCTGGCCAATCAGAGCAACGTCATATGACCCCTTTAATTTTGCACTCTGCTTTGTCAGGTTTTCAGCCTGGAATTAACATGAGAAAACCTCTTTAACTCCACAGAGATGCTTCTGAGAGTGCAGGCAAACTCATTCGTCATAGTGGATATAACTATCCGCTTTCATCAACACATCACGAAACTCATCTCAGTCTTACACATCTTGTGGATGCATGTCTATGTAGTCTCTGGTAGGTGATACATCATCCGTGGGGATTTTAAGGTAAAACGTGTCTTGAGGATGTTTAATTTCCTTCATGCCTGTTGAACACGCCGCTCAAGCTTTCTACAGGAAGTCAGTCGCACACACACTGACCCCTCGGGTGCCTTTCTCTGATTTTAAAATAGTAGGTCACGGTTTGGGCAGCTGGAGGAACTGACCTTCTGCTGATTCTGCTATCCCAGTCCCAACTAAAGCCCTCATCTGGATAAACTCATATCCTCTTGAGTTGTGCCTGCCCTGCAATGATTTTAATGTTCTTATTAGTTTCCAGGTGTGGCTTTAATGCTTTTAAGCCCAGCAGATGGATGGAGATTATTTCCTGCTGACCTTGATCTCAACTTTCAAAGTATAAAAAGCCTTTAGATAAAGTTTGCTCCAAATTAATAGAACGTTTCAGGTTCAAAACAGATTCTATCTGTGGCACGCTGTCAATTACCACAGAAAATAATTTCAACTCATTCTTCGGCAAATATCGTGTTTACAGTTTGAAAGCAGAAATATGCACTTTTCAGAGAGCATTTATATTAAACTAATTCTTTAGTACAAAAACATGAGATATTTGAGCTGTAAAAGTGTCTAAATCAGGGGTGCCCAAACTCGGTCCTGGAGTGCCGGTGTCCTGCAGAGTTTAGCTCCAATCCTAATTAAACACACCTGAATCAGCTAATCAAGATCTTAGTAGGTATGTTAGTAACTTCCCAGCAGGTGTGTTGAGGCAAGTTGGAGCTAAACTCTGTAGTACACCGGCCCTCCGGGACCGAGTTTGGGCACCCCTGGTCTAAATCATCGATTTCGCAGCGGGACCACCATTCTAGGTGGGTGAACTTTTAGTTATATGGCATAATACCTTTGGGTGAATGTTTAACTATGTAAACGTCCGGATTGACTGTCATATGCAGAGGACACACATTTTATACAGGTAAAGTAATTTAATCACTTTTCTCTTGAAAAAAAAAGTTAGGGATTAGTCTTTTTTTTTACAGTTTATTTTGATGTAATAGCATTACATACTGTATAAACTATAGAACAATTATATATGAAACAAAAGTGGATTTAACATCAAAATGTAATGTCTAAATGCATGTTTTTAATAACCTTATGCAACCTTTTAAATACCTTGGTCAGTTCAAGAATAATTTATGCAATTGTATACTATTTGAAAGACATAAAAGTAGAATTGATTTGAAAGAATTAAAAGCTGTTTCATGTCTATCCTTCTATTGTTCAATTGATCGAGGCTGATATGGGATTTAGAACGTCATTTGTAATAAGTAATGCAATACTTTTTAGATAGAGTATTTAATATCTAATTGCACTGTTGAAGATGTAATTAGTAGCTAGTAATTAATTACTTTTATAGCGTAATTTACTAAACACTGGCTACAAATGCCTCTCTAACAGCTGGTCCGTGCAATTAAATATTTGTAACACATTAAAAGACATGACAAATGACAAATGTGTATTTGCTGAATGGTGACACTATATCCTATTTGGTTACACTTTACTTGAAGGGGTGTGCATAAGACTGACATGACACCTTCATAATCATGACATGACATCTACATAATCATGACATGACACATGTCATGAATATGAAGGGTTTTTATGCATGTTTATGACAACTGTCATTAAGTGTCATTCGCTCAGTTATGTCATTTTTAATGCAAAGATGACATTGTTTGAGATGTCTTTGTTATGGGCTATGGTTAGGGGTAAGGGTAGGGGTAGGGTTAGGTTAGGGTTAGGTCAAATAATGTCATATTTACATTAAAAATGACATAACTGAGCGAATGACACTTAATGACAGTTGTCATAAACATGCATAAAACCTCCTTCATATTCATGACATGTGTCATGTCATGATTATGAAGGTGTAATGTCAGTCTTATGCACACCCCTTCAAGTAAAGTGTTACCTACTATTTAATTAAATAAATTATGAGACAAAACTGTTAAAGACAACTAACTAATGAAGTCGGAGACAGGAGCTCTGCTGCATCTCAGCGCATTTCAAAACAAAAATCCCAGCGTTGTCACTTCCAGCACTTAACAGTAAACAGAAAAATACTCCCAATAACTTAAAAATAGCAAATATTGGTCAATATATCATATATCAAAGTCACAAACTTCTGGGGGGTCCTGCACCAGCAGACTAGCTACCTTTGGGAATGCTAACAGATAACTTAATGCTAACCTATATAGTCATAATTGGTATTTACATTTATGCATTTGGCAGATGCTTTTATCCAAAGCGGCTTACATTGCATTCAGCGTATACAACATTGGTGTTGTTAGCGTCATGCTCTACTTTTCAAGTTATAAAATGCTACCGACTGATCTACAGGAATGCAACCGAAGCATATGTACCCGCAATGCACTGCATATTTGCGGTTATCACAGATTTATGTATACATTTTATACAAACAGCAAAGGGCTCAGAAAAATGTTCATAGAAAAGAAGACAATGGCTTTCAGAGCATTTACGTGAATGTGAATTATCCTTTGATAAAATGGCAGGCGCTTCTGTTTGCCTGACTTTTGTGCTGAATAATAATAATGACGGCTAAATGACAGTGATTATTGTTCCTTTTATCCTTCAACTGTGCCCTTCTGAGAACACTTCAATCAGAGGAGGAGAACATTTGACAAATCAAGAAAGTTACCATTGTTATGCATCATAAAGCACTATAAGGCCACACAAAACACTGACATACAGTATGTCTATTATAGAATTTGGGCTCAGCACATTACCGACTCTCTACAGGGGCATTAGTGTTTATGTGCAGAAGATGCATTAAATCAGGCCAATTATGTTAAGGTTTTAATAGAATGACTTTAAAGCTGCTGAGGCAGAGTAATTTTATACTAGGAGGCAGTGCTAAAATTACACAGACACACTCAGGCTAAGTGAAAGTTAGAGAGCTAAGATATACTCCGATGATGGATCTCTTATGGTTCATCTGTTCTTGTCTGGCAGAAGAGCTGGATTTGAACTCACATTGCCTGTATGAGCGCCACGGCTCACTGCGTCAGAGCAGCTGCGTCCACCACTAAGACACGGCTCTCATGGCTGTTACACAACATATTTAGTGTTGCGTTTGCTGGAATGGACTCTCTCTAGGCCTGTTGGTTTATAATGCACCATTAACAGCTTCCTCGAGTGACTTCCTCTGGTTGAAGGAGCGCTTTCTGCTTCTTTAAACAATACTCTAGCAAAAACATTGCCAGTAGCTCTGGTTTCCAAAACACTAACACAACATACTGTGTGAGGTATAGCAGGGGTTTGCAGTTGTGGCTTTCTAATGAGAGGCTAATCCATCCTTTTGCTGTAGGGTTTGCATGTGTGTTTGTAAGCCTTGGACAGCAGGAAACAACAGGCGGAGGTGCTGACACAGAAACATCTGCTGCTCTAGTCCATGACTGCTGACTTCCTTTGCTGATGTTTTGTATTCACTTGGAGATATGTAATATTCCTTGGAATGACATTTGAATATGACATTAAGGACAGATATTATTTCTTTTTTAGGAATGCACTGATATTAAAATATTAAAAATTCATTATAATTATACTGTTAATATTAAACTATTAAAATACATTATTTTACTATTTTTATTTATTCTAAATTTCTAATTCAATCAATTAGATCACAACATTATAACATTACAGTATGAGAAAGGGATATTCAGTTTAAGTTTTGATAATTGTTTTTTTCATTTGAGTAACATCAAATGTGCACTAAATTACACAATCTAAAAAAAAAATAATAATAATAAACCCAAAAAAGGATAATTGAGCACTATAAATACCCAAAATCAGCCAATATATCCAATTAATGATTAATATGATACATTTACAAATCTCTAATATTTCTAATATGAGGTTCAAAATTGTGGCAACCCTAAATGTAATCATAACATTACCAATTTGAGAGATGATTTTATTTTTAAAACCTGATTTGTGATTTCCTAGCACTAAATTAACCAAAAAGAAAATAATAAATGAAAAAAAATACAGAACAAAACTTCACAATATAAAAAAAACACAAAATAACAAAACAAATAAATAAATAAATACATTTTAAAAATCACAAAACAAACACAAAAAACAACACAAAATAAAATAGCAAAACAACAAAAAAAGCACAAAACAAAAACCAACAAAACACACAAAAACTAAATAAAATAGCAAAAGCACCAAAAAAAGCACAAAACAAAAAGTAACGCAAAACAACAACAGGAATAAAACAGCACAAAATAAAAGCACAGAACCAAACAAAAAGCTAAGGGAAAAAAAAAACAAGCACGCACAAATAAACAAATGAAACACATGTTGCAGAGTAAGTCCACATTTTAATCTTAGCACATGGTAGACTCCATCGCTTTTAAAGGAGAGCTGGACTAGAAGAGTGAGCTCCTGTACCTGTGGCTGAGCTGTGACCCCCGTAAGCTGGACATGGTATCTTCCAGGTTCTGCCGGAGGTCAAGGACATTCTGAACGGTACGTTTCCTCTGGGACTCGGGATCTGCAGGAAAGAACAGAGAGGAGACGATGAGTGGCCGGTTAATGCAGGCATTTAGCAGTTATATGGCCATACACAGACAAACACACCCATGCACATTAAGATTTAACACTTTGTGGAGAAGAGCCAATAAAAACATTAATATATAGATGCATGTTATCAAGCCATGGTCCACATTTCTACCCACACACATACAGTATCTCAGTTTTCAGGAAGAACACACAAACGCCTTTCTCTCGCGCTGTAAGAGTGCAGAGCAATGAAGCAGTGGAATATGACGATTCAGCAAGTAGGCAGCATTTCAGCCAGTACTAGAATGAATTAAACATTACATTTCCAGCCTACCAAGATGCCAAAACCTCTTTGAGCTACTGTACTAGCAAGCTCACTTAAACAGGACTTCAGTATTTATAAAAGGTCTCCTTTCAGTTTAATTGCTTGCTTTATTTAGGCAAATGTGCTTATACAGAATTATATGACATTCAAGCTGTAAAACTGTGGGGAAATGCATTATACATCTTAACTCTGACATGTTGAGGACGGTTTTAAAACTGCTGACAGTAAAAGTGCTGTATTTCGTCTAATCAGCCTCCCACCCTAAAACAAACATTTAAAAAAAACATGCCGGTCTACTAGTGTCAGATAATAAAACCACATAGTGCAGTTTATAAAGAGGTTCCCCTCCGTTTATCCATTCATCAGTTTGGCTTTACACACAGACTGATATGGAATGAAATAGTAGTGTAACACGTATCAGATACTGCCTACAATTTATGTTAAAATTATGTGAAACAGAATTAAATATATGCATTGTTTGTCATATGACTTCACTATGTTTAACTTAAGTCATAACAACTTATAATTTTGGAGATAACAATGTATTTGTAAAAAGAAATAATGAAAAAAGAGACTCATTAGTTGATATTTCTTCATTTATACAATTAATTTGTCACACTGGTAATTTAATTGAGCACTTTTCACCTCATTATATAAGTTTGTGTAGCCAGACATTTGGCTACAGGCATAAAGTCTGGTCCACATTGAGGCTTATTCTGGCACAAAACATTTATTATTACATCTCCCTCTACTGATGATACTGCAGGCAAGTTATAGCATGCTCAAATAATAACACTGCAATCTCAAAAAAGTTTGTAAAAACAATTGGAAAGATTTTGTTGAAAATTTCACATAATTTGCTAACTTTGTTAAATCCAAAATGTCACTGTTTCCTGGTGCATCCAGACTCCTAGAAATTGTGTAGAAGTCAACTAATCAGAGAGGAATTAGTGATGCACTGAAATTTTGGCAACTGAAAATATTCGGCCAAAATAGCAAATAAATAAATAAAAAGGATCAGTTTTTGCTAAATGGATTTGGAGGGAATTAATTACTGACCAAAACAGTTAGCGCTTCTCCGATGACGTGTTTTGACTGTTTCAAGTCAACGTTAATAAATAAATAAAAATCAGTTTTAGCCAAAATGGTTTTGAAGGGATTTAATTACTGACCAAAACAATTCATTACTGACACAACAGGTGAAAGGCCTTTCCACACTGAGCGCCAAAAAGCGAAAAGAATATCGGAAGCTATGACGCGCTGGAATAAAACAATAGATTTCTATGGATGCTTCCACATAGACCGCAAACATTCGCGCACCGAAAATGCAAATGTTTTTTTTTTCTAACCAGTCCGACGAATCACGGGCCGTCCAATAAGATTTTAGCTAGGATCACGTGACCGGAGCAGCTGCTGTTGCACAAAAGGGTGAGAGTGGTGGCACTGTTTCGAGAAACCAGTGTAAACAAACATCGAAGAAGAGTATCCCGGATAAGAGAAGAGAGTGGATGCTGAGTTCTTGTTATCGTTGGTATTTGAGAACAGATTTATTCTCACATGTTCTTTATACAGAATTACATTTCTATTAATTGTCCACTGAATTATGTGATCTGTTGAGCACCGTCCGTTTTCTTCCACGTGTGCAAGTGTTATGAGTCAGAGTGCATTAACTCTTTTTCTACACATGAAATATGAAAGCAAATAGACATGATTATGACAATATATTTTCTGTATGTGTTTTGTATGCAGCTCATGGTATTTTTATAGCAATAAAGGATGTTTATGAAAAATATTAGCAGTGTAGCATTATTAAACATACAAAGAGTGCATGTGTCTGCTTATTAATCAAAATCAACTATAGATCACAATTGGAAGTTATTACAAGCACTCAATGATGGTTTAAAGTGGGTAAGCAAATACATTAATAATTACATAAATGTTCAAGTGTAGCTTGATGCTAATTGTACTTCTAATTATATTTTAGGATGTAGCCTATTCTTGTAAGCATTATAGATAGTTTGTTTCTGGTGTAGAACCAACTTTTTTTGTCTTAATTTAATGCTGTATATTGAGCAGCGGACAACGTTAAATCAATTTACGAGATACATATCTGAGGAAAAATGCATTGTTGGTCTGCGCCACCTAGCGTGCAGGCGTGAATTAGCAGAAGGCGAACAATCATTTCGCGGTCGGTGTGAAAGCACCGTTCGTCGGCGATTCGCCTTGCTTTTTCGCATCGCGCTCAGCGTGGAAAGGCCTGAACATGTCAGTGTCTACGAAATTCACCGAAAGCGAAAATCATGTTTTTGGTTGCAGTTGGGAAAATCTGTTTGTCTGAAATATCAAGAAGTAGTTTGTTGTCGATAAACTTTACTACAATTGGTTTATCACCTGTGAACAAGACACCCTGAACAGCATCAATTACCCAATTAGCCAGCATTATTCAATTTAGTTCAATTTCATTTTCAGTGTTTCAGTGAAAAATATGTCTGCGCATAACTAACTGGAATTACTTCATACACAATACACTTTTGACAGCCCGAGAATGGTCCATGTCGTCTGAGGAAGACATCCTCCCAAAACCTGATCGCTCATACCATCTTGTATGTTTCCCCTGGGGTGTGTTAATCCTGAATCTTGACCAGTCAGCACAGCAAGACTCCATGCCAAACCCTTGGTAATGACATCCAGACTGGCATTAGTCAAAGTCCTAGTCTTAATTCACTTTAATCTTCACCATAGCAAAATGATTGTGTGTGTTTGTGAGGGTGTGTGTAGTGGATCAGCACAACACATGGAGGTGGCCCATGGCTTTGTGATGAAAATGGAGAACCCCCTCATGCGGCCCCCTGTGGAGTGTCTCTTCATTTAGGCATAATATCATACAATTAGACTCATGAAATACAATGAGTCTCCCAGAGTGGTTCAAATGGGCTGCTCTATAAGTTGGGCTGGTAATGAGAGTGGTTTGATTTACAGCTAGTAGTTTGACTTGTACTGTACATAACCGCAGCCTTCTATGTTGATTACACAATTATGTTATGCAATGCTTTTGTTGGTCCGATCTGAACAGTAAAGACTGAAATGGATTTCAACAAATTTGACATATGAATGTAGCTTGAAACAGATTTGTTAAAATAGTATTCATGTAATTTTTTTTTTACATTCACATTTGCTAAATAAGATTGGATTCCAATTGCATATGAACAAAAATCTGATTTGATTCTTCTAGAAGTATAAACACACAGTCATATCATTGGTGTGTTTGTTTGAGTGTCCAACCAGCTTAACACTGTCTCAACCATTAGTGTAGGTTTTGGACGGGGCTGTCAGTTTGCCTAACCAATGACAGCTTGGAATCCTGTTGGAAAACATTTTATTTCATTATTTAGGCCATTTTGCCATTCCTTTAGATATTATATAAATCACCATTAATTTAGCAACTCTTGCTTCATAAAAGCAAAGATGAGCTGAATTTAAAGCAGGCTGACCACAATCCCCCATTGACAATATGACAGTGATGGTGTCTACAACAGTCTGTGGCTGAAAGGGCCATTAACTCTCTGTGATAGCACACAGCATTAAGCCATGAGAGGGTAATTACCAGAAAATGGACAGATTTGAGAGAACATGTTGCATTCAGTGGACCTTTCACACCCAAAATATGCACAGCGAACTTGCTTCCATTCATCGCTGGATTCAGATTTCGTATCTATCACAAAAAAAGCATTTTGAAGCATTATATGAGTCCAAAAACAACATTTGTAACTGTAGCCACTGAGTTTCCTCTCAGTAATACGGAACCGTGTATGGATCGCTCCAGTTGGCAGACGGATACATGTGAATTGTCCTGTTGAGCTCTGGTGTAACGAAATGAGACTGAGAAGATCATCACACTTCCACCCCCACGCCTACAGACCCCTGCGGGTCAGTCCAGCTGGCCAGTGCTGGAATGACCTATGCAGTGAGAGAGAAGTCATGAACCTATGAGGTGTCCATCACCCTGATGGTTGTAGTCTAAGCACGGCCAGTCTGGCAACACCGCTCAATGCTGCAGTAATGGCGAGAAACACGCTCACGAAAACATATCACATTGATTTCACCATTAAGCGGTGTGACATATAAGAACTATTGATTTCAGTGGCTTTGGGAATTAGCTCAATACTGAGATGATTGAGTCGCTGAAAACACAGGAGCACTGCAGCCATGTGCCGATCAAAGTGGTCAAGCTGTTCATATTTGAAAGGTTATCTCCAGTGGAAAGCAGGAGGGGTGCCTGACAAATATTCTTTCAATCATTTGTAGTGTTTGCTTAGAGGTTGAGCAAAGTCTGAACCCTAAATATCAAACTTCAGCACATCCAAACCCCCATTTGTGCCAGAAACCACACCCTAACAACCAGCTCAAGACCCTAGCAACTACCCAGAACACCATAGCACTGGACCGGCAATCACAGTCTAACAACCAAGTAGCAACACCCTAGCAACCACCAGAACACCACAGTAACTGCAGGCCAACGTCCTGGTAACCACCACAGCCTCTTGGCAACCATCAGAACACCTCAGCAACACCCCAAAAACCACCCTGAACACCATAGACTGGCCTGGCAATTACCTAGAACACTCCAACCATGTAGCAACACCCTAGCAAACACCACAACATCTGTG